AAGATGACTTTAAGGTATTAAAATATCTTAGATTCTATTAACAATATAGTAATAAAATTAACATCATGTTGTTACAATTTCAACATTTGAAAGTATTTAATTTTTTTAAAAGATGAAACAGTACTAATCTTCCTAAATGTAAACTAAACATTACTTACATAAAAGTATGAGAAATTGTACGTTTAATCTCTAAGTCACACAAAATGTATTCAGACAGATATATTTGCCACATAGGAATTATCTAGAGTAAAATAACGTGCTCAGGCTAAACCAATTCATCCTCTTCACAATACTTGGGATTCTACTTTCAAGCAAGAAAAAGATACCTGTATTATCACATGAGGAAATTCACATCTTTTCCTTTTTAAATTCAAATTTTAAATACTTCTCTCTCTCTCTCTCTCTCTCTCACAAACACACACACAACATACCCAGGCAGGAAGAGAGAAAAAAATGAAGCATTATAAATTTTTTTTTTTCTGTGACAAGGTGAATGCAAAACAAAGTAATCTTGCCCTCTGCATTGCAGAGAAATAGTTCATGCAACCAATGGGAGAAGCAATTTTTAACTGTCAAGAAAAACTTCAGATGTTAGCCCCAAGAAAGATTTTACTTACAAAACAGTTAAGAATGCTTTTATTTCAAAATACTTAACAAAGAAATTCTGTACAACAGCTGCACTGAATATTCTAAGTAGAGGCACACTGCAGTGCTCTGAAAATAAATGTTATTTTCTCTAACGATAGCATCCTTTTTCAGTATATTAACTGAAAAGATATAAAGAGCAAAGACTTTAGGGAGTAGTATGAAAAACAGTAAGTACACTTGGCTATCACTTCTGTTCACATATTGGTTACAAAGCTGTCTTGCAAGAGAACACCTGGTTAATCTTTCACCTACCAAAATCACTAGTGTCTAAACCTTTTATATTTCCAAAAAGCATAAAAATTTTAAATGTCATCTATTAAAACATCCTTTATTCTACATTAAACTGATTACATCTTACCATATAAATGAGCTCTCTACTCAGTTAAAATTAAGGCTTGGTTTCAAAGTACCATCTTGCACAGCCTAGAGCCCAGTTATGCCAACAAACTTGATGAAGAAAACTAGGCAATCACTCAACTGATTATTACTTACAAAAGCTAAAGGATCTATAAATGGAGTTTTGCACTTCACTCTTTTGATTATATCTGCATTTCTTCTCTTTGCTAAACACACAGTCTTTTTAAGCCCAAATTTCAAAAACTACCAGGCCATTTAGTTGCATTACATAATAGGATCATATTTCATTAATGTTAAGTATGCATTCTCACTGAACAGATGCTTAGCTTTCCTCTCAAGGCTCAACTTACTAGAAAATTAACAAACAGGGGCACCTGGGTGGCTCAGTCGTTAAGCGTCTGCCTTCGGCTCAGGTCATGATCCCAGGGTCCTGGGATCAAGCCCCCCCGGGCTCCCTGCTCAGCAGGAAGCCTGCTTCTCCCTCTCCCACCCCCCATGCTTGTGTGCCCTCTCTCGCTGTGTCTCTGTCAAATAAATAAAATCTTAAAAAAAAAAAAGGAAATTAACAAATAACTTTGTACAAGCCTAAGTTATCCAAGCAAAGTTATTATTAAAGTAAAAGGCAAAAAGTTTGCATAATAGTCACAGATGTAATTACCCCATTTTTGTACTACGGATTTGCTCCTTCCTTTCCACCTCCAGTCTTACTGACGGTTGAATTATTCACTCTACAGAGACCTTCTCTACATAATGACCTGAGCCGAAGGCAGACGCTTAACGACTGAGCCACTCAGGCGCCCAATAACTTTGTATTTTAAATGAAGTGCAATTATTGCAATTCTCCAAGTCTTAAAGTTAAGTAATACTACATATCTGGTAGTAATTTTGGTCAGGATACTTGATTTTAGAATCCATTAAAAAAGAGATTTTGTCCAGAAGACTCTTATGAATACGTCAAGTCTGAAATACAGCTCAAATACAAGTTGCCATGTGTGGACTGAAGTAAAAAGAAATCCAGTTATAAAGATCATCTTACTTTACTGCATAAGGATTTCTACAAAGGTTCAAAACTGATTTGTAAAGTAAATCCTATTTTAGGTGTATTAGAAATACTCATTCACTACAACAATCACAGTTAAGTCCATTCATACAGTAAATCATCTAGATACAGAAAAAATACAATTTAAACTAAAATCCAGATGTGTTTAGAGAAAAACCCAAATGCCTTGAGTTTCTCAAAAAGTAAAACTTAATTTCAATAGTAATTAAGTCACAACACCAGTACTGCCAACTTAACTATTTAACAAGTAGGTAGCTCATTCTGTAAGTTATAAAAAAAAAAAACAAAAAACTTTAGGGCGCCTGGGTGGCTCAGTTGGTTAAGCGACTGCCTTCGGCTCAGGTCATGATCCTGGAGTTCCGGGATCGAGTCCCACACAACGGACTTCCTGCTCAGCAGGGAGTCTGCTTCTCCCTCTGACCCTCTTCCCTCTCGTGCTTTCTCTCTTTCTCTCTCTCTCAAATAAATAAATAAAATCTTAAAAAAAAAAAAACTTTAGTAATCTGACCTTTCCACTAGCATCCAAACACTGAGAAGACCGGGGGAAAAAGATATGAAATACTTTGTTACTTTGTGTAGTGTTTTCTCCACCGATACAAGAAACTTTTCAGTACTTACTAGCCTAGTCTATAATCTCTATAATAATAGTTACATTACTTTCTCCTCTATCAGGGTGCCTGAGGGGCGGGTGTTAGGCAATGTATATAATATAAATCCATACACGAGTGACCTGTCGCTGTCAGGTCCTCAAAGAGCTTATAAACCAAACTCCTCCTTAACACATTTGGAGCACTAGACTCAGTCACCTCACAACTAAATTGGCTGCTAATCCAGTGCCTGATTTTACACTAAAAACTTTGAAAAATTATTTTTGAGTCATTAAAATATAAATATCTACATTTAATTGTCTATATTTCCAATATTACATCATTACTATTTATCTTTTGACTCCTATCCTAAAAGAAAACAGGCATTTCCTAAGAATTTTGAAAATTAAACCACTCAGGCATCAACCAGATTGACAGGATTGCTTATTGTAGTAAGAAGTTTTAAAAAGATATCTAAGTCTCAAGTTCAAATAGAGTAGCAAAAACTAAATCAGATGGCAGACTCAGAAGATACTGGCCTTGGGTATGCTTATTCCATTACATATTTCAATGTAGCTACCTTACAAGTAAAATACTTTTTGTTTTACTGCTACTAATAAATCTAGTATTTCTATCATTTACAATAAACCACACTTGTTTATCAAAATAAAGTATCACCAAAAGATAGCCATCCACAAGTAGTCCAACTCTCGATTTCAAACAAAACCTAAGAAATTCAAGTAAAATTCCCAATAGGAAAAATGAGATGGATTAGTATCAAATCTAAAAATGTTTGTTTTAAAACTCCCCCCAAAATATAAAATAAATCATAGAACAAGCAATTAAAATAATTATGGCCTACACCTACATTTTCTTCAAGTTACTTGTTATGGCCCAAATTTTAGCTAGTCTCAACATCTTAAGTAACACTGTTAGGTGAGTGGCTAAATAAACATTCTTAAATGACTTCGTCAAAATTCAAAATGTTATAATAAATATGTTTTACTAAAAGCAAACAAGCCTAAGTTATCCAAGCAAAGTTATTATTAAAGTAAAAGGCAAAAAGTTTGCATAATAGTCACAGATGTAATTACCCCATTTTTGTACTACTGATTTGCTCCTTCCTTTCCACCTCCAGTCTTACTGAAGGTTGAATTATTCACTCTACAGAGACCTTCTCTACATACCTACATACATACATACATACACACATACACACACACACGTGTGTCGCTCTAAAAAGAGTTGGTACACTGTCCTGCCCTGAAAGCATAAAACAAAATGCCTACTTGAAGATCAACCTCACGGTGTGACCTAGAATGGCCAACTATTGAATCCAAAAAATTGTGGGTGTGGCTCGACTGTTTTTTGGAGGAGCGGGGGGGCGAGGAAGGCCAGCCGGGGCGGCTGCCTGGTCTCTGCCCTCCCCCTCTGCTTTCGCTTTGTGCTCACAATGCAGCTCCTGTAAAGCGCTTCCCTCTCCTCGCAGCCGCCGCCATGTTAGACGCTCTCTCCATGTGCCCAGAAACCTGGCGATCCCCTCGGTCTAACCCGGACCCACGCCCCCCAACGAATCTCAATCGTGGCAGTCTCCCTCCCGTCCCTCTTTAGAGTCCCGGAGGGGCAAAGAGCCGCTGCAGAAAATCTTCTCGGGATCGAGTTGAGCGTGAGGCTCAGGGGGGCACCTAGACAATTGAACAAAGAAGGAAACGTGGGGGCGCCCATCAGAGGGGGGCGGGGGGGTGGGTGGCAAATCGAAGACCCACTCAAAAGGGGCCTTATAGAGAAGCAATTCTAGGTGAAGATCCTAAACACACTTCCCTCCCGAGAGGAGAAAAGACACTGAATAGGCCTCAGGTACATGGTAACGGAGCGGGCCAATCTCACGGCTACAGGACGTAGGCCGCCCCAACTCCACGAGGCGGTCGGTTGAGCCCTGAGCCCCGTCACCGGGACCCCTTTCATTTCTCCCCGCTGGCCCTCCGTCAAAGAAATCGGGCCTCGGTGACGGAGAGAAGGGCATCACTCAGTTCAGTCTGGCGACAGGACAGGCCCCCGCCCTCACGCATCCCACTCCCAAAGGCCAAAAAGCCGGGCCCACCGCCGGAGGAGAGTAATAAAGCGGCCCGGGCGGGGGGGGGGGGGGGGAGATGAGCGGCGCGTCCGGGTCAGGTGACAAGCACCTCCCCTAGGAGCCCGTTTTGTGGGCTTCAAGCTCCGTTTACTGAGCGGGCCGGGCGTGGGGGGTGGGGGCGAGTGCAGGGGATGCGCCAGGGACGGGAAGAGGGCAGGCCACAGCAGTCAGGGTCGGAGCATCCAACCCTCCCGTCCCCGCCAACTCCTGGCACCTTTTTCTTCTCCAGGTTCCGAAGTTTCTTGTCGATCACCCCGAGGATCTGCTTCATGGCCTCGGTCTGGACAGCGCCGGTGCCGGTTGCGGGGTGCTGGGAAGCCGGCGCAGCTGCCCCGGCCCCCGACGCCGCCTCACTCCCGGAGGAACCCGACGGGGGTGGCGGTCCGGACGACTTGCTGCCGCTTCCGCTGTGGCTGGTGGCCGAGGGCATCTTTAGACCGTTGAGAAGAAAGAAAAAGCGGGAGGAAGGAGGACAAGAGCGGCGAGTCAGGCGGCGGACGGGGCGAGACGCGGGACAAAACGCGCAGCGGGCGGGAGCCTGCGCGAGCGGGTGGGGGTGGGGACGGGGCCGGCGCGCGCCGCGAGGGCAGGAAGAGACCGAGGACGCGCGCGCGACCCGCCAGCGGGGCGCCCGGCCCGGCCTCGCGCCGCCCCCCGCCCCTCCCCCGCGCGGGCCGCCGGCTCGGCCTACCCGCCCCGGGGTACCGAGGCTCGCGCCGGGGGCGGGGCCTCGCAGCGCCGGCCGCCAACGGCCAGTGCAACGGTCCCCGCCAGGGTGGGCCGGCACTCGTCGCCTGGCGAGGAAGGGAGGGAGGAGAGAGGTCGGGGCTAAGAGGCGGAGAAGGGAGGAGAAGGGCACTGGTAATGACCGGGGTGGGGAAGCTGGGGTGGGAGGGAGGGGAGACTTGAGGAGCAAGCCCCTCGAGAAGGTCCAGCCGATCCGGAGGTAAAGGACACTCGGGGCAGCGGCCCTCTTCCCCGTCAGCGCCTCGGTCCGGGTGGCGCTCACCGTGCGCGCGCGGAGGCCGCTGGAGATCCCGAGTGGGCGGCTGAGGGGGCAAGGGTGGCTGTGCGTTCCGGGCAGTGTCGTGCGCTCCGTGGGCGCAGGCCGCTTCGCCCTATCCCCGCTGCACCGAGAGCCGCTGCTAGTGAGGCGGAGAGCCGAGAGCGGGAGGGACTTAGCCAGCCGGCCCTCTGGGGCGGAGGGGGCGGGAGAAGCTGCGGGAGGGGGCCTTCGCGGCCGCTCGGGCTGCCCGGCGCGAACGCCTGCGGGGAAAGGCCCACTGGCCTCTTACCGCGCTGCTCTAGCTCCAGTCCTTGGGGGCGGCCGCTCAGGGCAGGTCGGGACGGGCCCGGGGGGGATGCCGTAGGAGCGGCGCCTAGAGTTTGGAGCGAAATCGAGGCTAGGGTCCTTCAGGCGAAGTCGCTTGACATCCAAACGGGGACAATAGGTGTCAAGCAGCTGGATCGGAGCTGGCGTCTGCCCTGTAAAGAGCCCTAATGGGGGGGTTGCGGAGGGGGGGGGAGCAAAGGTTTCTGCAAGTAAAGGGTGTGTGGGGTGGGTGGTGCAATCCCAGCTTCTAGAATTCCTTCTGTATGCAGAGCAAGCAAACTCACACACCCCAAAAGGTCTTTTGAAAAAAGACAGTTCGCCGCTTCCCCCACAAAACAATCACCCGGTAGGTAACCTAGGCGTCCTCTGTAGGACGCGTTGGAAATGAGCAAAATGGGTGGCTTATTAAAAGTCTTAAAACTCTGGACTCGGGTTAAAAATAGTCTTCTATCTTAAGATGACACTTATCCAATAAGCCCGAGTGTTACAAATTGGACTTTGTTTTCTTTTTGTTTCGAATTTACCTAATACTCTTAAGAGAATGTTGAATGAATACAAAACAAAAATATTCTTTTGCTCCAAGAGAATTATTCCAGTCCTGTAATTTAAGTAGGGGCGGGGTGGGTGTGGACAGTAAACAGAAAATAAGCCAAGTGCTGTAAGAAGATGTATTAAAGGAACATAATCAGTGAGAGATTTCAGCCCCATAATGTATGACAACAATAAATGACCATTATAATTTCAATTCTCTGAAAAAGGATTTTGAAGAGGATTCTACCAAACCCCACTATTCCCTAGGGAATAAAATGAGTAATACTGGCTGGCAACAGTGTATCCTGAGGGAGTCTAGGGAAACGACAGCGGACTCCAGCCTCGATACTCCAGTTAGCTGCAAAGTATGTTACATATTCGTTCAAATATTTATTGAGCACCTTAATATGTGTTAGGAACGCTTTAACGCTAGAGATTGTGAACAAAACAAAAATACCTTCGTGGAATTTCATTTTAAGTGTGGAAAAGAAAAGTGTCAGTGAAATGGTACAGAAGAAAAAACCAAACAAGGTGGTCAGGACAAGCCTTACTGGCACTTGAGGCAAAATTGAAGGGCGTGAGGCCAAGCAGTTATCTTGGAGGAAGAGTTTTCCAGGTAGAGGGAACACCCAAGTTTCAGGATCTGAGATGGGAGTGTGCTTGGTGGGTTCAAGAACAGCAAGCAGGCCACAGTGGCTGAAGCAGAGAGTAGGAGATGAGGTCAAAAACAAAAAAGAGGTCCAGTGTTTTGAAGCCTGCCAGGCCATTGCAAGGACTTTGGCCTTTGCTGAGTGAAATGGGGAGTCACTGCATACATAGTTTTAATTTTAAGCAGGGACGTGACATGATCACCCTGGGTAAAGAATTTACCATGTGTGTGGATTAGAGGTAAGAGGGAGAGCGGGGCAAGAGGAGAAGCTGAGAGCCCAGTAAGGAGGCTGTTGAAATAATATGGCCCAGAGATGGTGGTGGCCAAGATCAGTGTGTTACAGTGAAGGTGGTGACAGGTGGCTGGATGCTTTGCATATAGAACCAACAAGATTTGCTAACAAATTGTAAGGTGTGAGAGAAGTCAAAAGTGACCTAAGGTTATTCAAGATTGAAGCACCTGTACTGTGCTACACTTAGAGGTGAGAAAGGAAGATTAGAATCCGTTAACCCCTTGCTTCTCAGTATGCTCAGCCTGACCACCATCACTATCAAAACCTCAGGCCCTACCCTGGACCTACTGTATTAATCTGCTTTTTAACAAGATCCTCAGCTGATTTGCATGCACATTGAAGTTTGAAAAAAAAAAAATCACTGCTTTATTCCTTAGAATTTGACCAATGTCTTTAAGATCAGACATGAAATATTCTACTAGATAAATTCTCCCCAGATCGACAAACTGCAGAGGTGGAGCCCAGCACTCTGTTTTTAACACCCCCTCCTGGATTCTAAAGTATGGAAACCAATGATTTGGAGACTTCTAATGAAGGATTCAGGTTTGAGCTAAAGAGGGCTTGTGAGAAAGAGAGGCCTCTTGTGCCTTTCATGGGCACATCACACAGTAACTGTTATAGAAGTGTACAGACCCACAGCTCAGTTAGGCTTTTCTTCAAGGAAAAGGGAAAGATTGTTGAGAGGGAGCAGGAAAGATGACAACACAGGTGACAAAGATTCTCACTTGGGGGGCCATCTCACAGCCCCAGTATATCAAAATAGGCTAGGTTATGCTGCAGTAACAATCTGAAAAGGTCTGTGACAAAACAGGGGTCTACACACTATAGTCCCAGGGCCAAGTGTTTTTTGTTTTTGTAAAGCTTTTTTGCAGATGCAGCCACATCCATTCATGTATATCTTTCCTATGGCAGCTTTCATGCCACAGCAGAGCAGAGTTGAGTAGTTGTGATAGAGTATGGTGTACAAAACCTAAAATACACTTTATGGAAGAAGCTTTCCAATCCTCTGCTAAAAAATGATACATATCCACTGTGGTTCAGCAGAGTGCTTTGTTCACAGTAGTCAGTAGATTCAGGCTGTTGAAGAAACCATATTTCAGGTGTTGCTGATTATTATAAGGAAAGAGAAGTAGGGAGTATCTCTGGTCAAATACCCCAGACTTGCCACTTGTGTGCTCACACCCCATTGGCCAGAAACAGTCACATGATCCCACAACCAAGAGATGCTATCCTATCAAATGCCTCACAGGAAGGTAGATGAACCAGAATTATTTGGTGAATATGCATACCTGTCCATGCTCTCACTTCCTACAATACAGTGATCCCAATCCCATTTCCTTGGTTTTCAGACATTTTCACAGTTGTGTATTCGGGTCAGCAAGTCCAGGAAGACCAGTACATCTTAAGGCAAATCAGTGTCTAGTCTGACTTCCTCCCCAGTTCAAAGCCATGGTCTCAGCAAACCAAATTTGTCTATTTCCTACTTGACAAAAAGGGGACTGATGCTATGTTTATGTGGATTTTTAATCCTTCACTGTTTTCTTTTTTTTTAACCTTTTTTTCTAATCCAAAGCCATGCAGTAGGTTGGGGGCATTGTATAACTAAAGAAACAAGAAAAAGTATTTTCCCAGCCAACCAGTGGGAGAGCAGCATATGTCTATACAGGCATACCTTGGAGATATTCTGGGTTCAGTTCCAGACCACCACAATAAAGCAAATATTGCAATAAAGCAAGTCAAATGAATTTCTTGGTTTCCCAGTGCATATAAAAGTTTTGTTTACACTATACTGTAGTCTATTAAGTGTGCAGTAATAAGTCTAAAACATAATGTATGTTCCTTAATGTAAAAATATTGCTAAAAAATGCTAACCATCTGAGCTTTCAGCGACTCATAGTCATTGATGACAGATCACCATAACAAATATAATAATGATGAAAAAGTTTGAAATACTGTTGAGAATTGCCAAGATGTGACCCAGACACAAAGTGAGAAGATGCTGTTTACTTGACACCGGGTTTCCACAAACCTTCAATTTGTAAAAAATGCAGTATGTGCAAAGCACAATAAAATGAGGTATGCCTGTAAATGGAAAACATTTTTAACAAAAATGTTGGTTTTAAAGTTATATTCAATATTAACATATTTTGGGGGTGCCTGGGTGGCTCAGTCAGTTAGGCGGCTGCCTTCGGCTCAGGTCATGATCCCGGGGTCCTGGGATTGAGCCCCACATCGGGCTCCCCACTCTCCTGCCCCTCCTCCCTGCGTGTGCCCTTTCTCTAAATCTTTTATTTATTTGAAAGAGAGAGCACACGCAGGGAGGAAGGGCAGAGGGAGAGGGAGAAGTGGGCTCTATACCGGGGTTCTTGGATCGTGACCTGAGCCGAAGGCAGCCACTTAACCGACTGAGCCATCCAGGTGCCCCTAAATAGATAAAATCTTTAAAATATATATGTATTAACATATTTTAACACAAATCTTCCAAGCTGACATTCATTTCATTCATTAGATCACAGCACTCTGAAGTCTTCACAGGCAAGTGAAGTGAATAATTGAACTACTCATCCTGATCATTTCGGCAAAATAGTCCGACTGCTTCGACTTCAATCACCCAATAAACTAATGCCAAGTTTATTTATGATAAGGAAAACAGGGGAACTTTCATCTGAATTACATTAATTCTCTGTGTCAGATTCACAGAAACCTAGTCTACTTATGAACTACACTGTTCACACAGCTAAGGCTTTTAAAGCCTCTTAAGTTTGTTTTTCAGTCATTTTACTACAAGTGAACTATAAACATTGCTATAAAAATTTTTCCAGTTCTGCCCATTTAAATAATTCAGTGTTGTAATTATTTGTCTATGTGTCCTTGAGTCCCCACGAGACTCTGAGCCTTACAAGAGAAGGCAGTTGTTTTGTTTCTCATCTCTGCATTCTCAAAGCAATAATATGGCTGGCACAAATGGTTTTTTATTTTATTATTTTTTTTTAAAGATTTTATTTATTTGACAGAGAGATAGCTAGAGAGGGAACACAAGCTAGGGGAGTGGGAGAGGGAGAAGCAGGCTTCCCGCCGAGCAAGGAACCTGATGTGGGGCTCGATCCCAGGACCCTGGGATCATGACCTGAGCCGAAGGCAGACCCTTAACGACTGAGCCACCCAGGCACCCCACAAATGTTTTTTTAAAGATTTTATTTATTTGAGGGGTGAAAAGAGAGAGAGATCAGGGAGGGGCAGAGGGGGAGGGAGAAAGAATCTGAAGCAGACTCCACACTGAGTGAGGAGTCCAACATGGGGCTTGATCCCACGACCCTGAGATCATGACCTGAGCTGAAACCAGGAGTCAGATGTTCAACTGACTGAGCCACCTAGGTGCCCCCTGGCACAAATGTTTTGTCAACATTGCCTACTACATTAACATATCAGTACAGTATTGA